CTTTTTTTATTAGAAGTTTTTTATTTTTAAGCAAACAAAAACAAACATACATATAACATAAAAATATCATCAATTACATGTGTGTTTAGTATGTTGTTTGGTCACAAACATTTGTGCATCACCACTTTCAATTGTGTATAAAATCATATATTCAACTACAATTATTATTTCTTCATTTTAAACATCTAAATATCCAATTCATATATATACCAATATTCCATTACATTGTTATAAATCTATATAATCTATATGATAGTAATATGTCTTTATGGTATCTCCTATCACATTCTATTATTACAGTTCAAAATTGTGATAATTGTATCCACTGATAAAACAAGTCCCAGATCTTATAAAATTGTTCATCTTCTTGTTCTCTAATTTCAAATGTCAATTTATTCATTTCAGCACATTCCATTGTTTTTCAAATGACTTCCTCCTGCATTGGTATTTTCTCATTTTTCCAATTTTTTGCAAATACAATTCTAGCTGCCGTTAAAATATTTACGATCAAATATTTCAAGTCTTTATTGTATGTATCTGGTATAATACCCAATAAAAGAGTCTCTGGTTTAAAGTCTATACGTTTCTGTGTCATTTTGGATTTTAGTCCAATACCCTTTAGCTTCTGAGCAAGTCCACCACACGTGGTAGTATGATCCCGGTGTCTGATGACATTTCCAACACTTTTTCTATTTGTTTTTGAATATTCTTGCTATTCTCGTCAGGGGTAGATGCCACCTGTAAAACATCTTATACAAATTTTCCTTATAAGCTGTTGACATTGTCATTTTATAATTTTGGGACCACAATTTCTCCTATTTCTCTAATTCAATCCCACGTCCAAATTTTTCCCCCCAAGCTATCATAGGTTCTTTAACTTGTTCTTCTTCTAGCTTAACCTCTAGTAAATGTCCATATAGTTTTTTAAGAATACAGGCTTTCTATATATGCTCTGGTAACCTCTCATCTGAATGTATCGAACACAGCTCTTTCTCCCTTTTTTGTCCATCTATTAGAAAAAAAGAGCTCCTGGACCTTTTTGGATCAGTCAACATATTTAGCATTT